TCAGGGTCCCAGTCTTACCATATAACAGGTACCAAGCTTACCATACATCAGGGTCCCAGTCTTACCATATAACAGGTACCAAGCTTACCATACATCAGGGTCCCAGTCTTACCATATAACAGGTACCAAGCTTACCATACATCAGGGTCCCAGTCTTACCATATAACAGGTACCAAGCTTACCATACATCAGAGTCCCAGTCTTACCATATAACAGGTACCAAGCTTACCATACATCAGAGTTCCAGTCTTACCATATAACAGGTACCAAGCTTACCATACATCAGGGTCCCAGTCTTACCATATAACAGGTACCAAGCTTACCATACATCAGGGTTCCAGTCTTACCATATAACAGGTACCAAGCTTACCATACATCAGGGTCCCAGTCTTACCATATAACAGGTACCAAGCTTACCATATAACAGGTACCAAGCTTACCATACATCAGAGTCCCGGTCTTACCATATAACAGGTACCAAGCCTACCATATAACAGGTACCGAAAGCTTACCATACATCAGAGTCCCAGTCTTATCATATAACAGGTACCAAGCTTACCATACATCAGAGTCCCAGTCTTACCATATAACAGGTACCAAGCTTACCATATAACAGGTACCAAGCTTACCATACATCAGAGTCCCAGTCTTACCATATAACAGGTACCAAGCTTACCATATAACAGGTACCAAGCTTACCATACATCAGGGTCCCAGTCTTACCATATAACAGGTACCAAGCTTACCATACATCAGGGTCCCAGTCTTACCATATAACAGGTACCAAGCTTACCATACATCAGGGTCCCAGTCTTACCATATAACAGGTACCAAGCTTACCATACATCAGGGTCCCAGTCTTACCATATAACAGGTACCAAGCTTACCATACATCAGGGTCCCAGTCTTACCATATAACAGGTACCAAGCTTACCATACATCAGAGTTCCAGTCTTACCATATAACAGGTACCAAGCTTACCATACATCAGAGTTCCAGTCTTACCATATAACAGGTACCAAGCTTACCATACATCAGAGTTCCAGTCTTACCATATAACAGGTACCAAGCTTACCATATAACAGGTACCAAGCTTACCATACATCAGAGTTCCAGTCTTACCATATAACAGGTACCAAGCTTACCATACATCAGAGTTCCAGTCTTACCATATAACAGGTACCAAGCTTACCATACATCAGAGTTCCAGTCTTACCATATAACAGGTACCAAGCTTACCATACATCAGGGTTCCAGTCTTACCATATAACAGGTACCAAGCTTACCATACATCAGGGTCCCAGTCTTACCATATAACAGGTACCAAGCTTACCATATAACAGGTACCCTTACCATACACCAACATCAGAGTCCCAGTCTGACCATATAACAGGTACCAAGCTTACCATACATCAGGGTCCCAGTCTTACCATATAACAGGTACCAAGCTTACCATACATCAGAGTCCCAGTCTTACCATATAACAGGTACCAAGTTTACCATACATCAGGGTCCCAGTCTTACCATATAACAGGTACCAAGCTTACCATACATCAGAGTCCCAGTCTTACCATATAACAGGTACCAAGCTTACCATATAACAGGTACCAAGCTTACCATACATCAGAGTCCCAGTCTTACATATATCAGGTACCAAGCTTTACCATACATCAGGGTCCCAGTCAGGGTCCCAGTCTTACCATATAACAGGTAACAGGTACCAAGCTTACCATACATCAGGGTCCCAGTCTTACCATATAACAGGTACCAAGCTTACCATACATCAGGGTCCCAGTCTTACCATATAACAGGTACCAAGCTTACCATACATCAGAGTTCCAGTCTTACCATATAACAGGTACCAAGCTTACCATACATCAGAGTTCCAGTCTTACCATATAACAGGTACCAAGCTTACCATACATCAGAGTTCCAGTCTTACCATATAACAGGTACCAAGCTTACCATACATCAGGGTCCCAGTCTTACCATATAACAGGTACCAAGCTTACCATACATCAGAGTCACAGTCTTACTGTATAACAGGTACCAAGCTTACCATGTAACAGCAACCCAATCTTACTTGATACCAGAATCTCAAGCCTACTTAATGATGGAATCCCAAGCCTTAACAGAAGCACAAGCTTACTTAATGCAATGTTTCCAAGCTTTTTGCATACCATAATTTCTAGCTTTTCACATACCAGAATCCTTAGTCTATCTTGTACCAGAATCTCAAGCCTACCTAATGATGGAATCCCAAGCCTTAACAGAAGCACAAGCTTACTTAATGCAATGTTTCCAAGCTTTTTGCATACCATAATTTCTAGCTTTTCACATACCAGAATCCTTAGTCTACCTTGTACTAGAATCCCAAGCCTATCTAATGACAGAATGTGCCGTAATCCCAAGCTTCATAGGACCATGAATGCATTTGTAGGAAGGAAGAAATGACATAACCAGTTTGAGGAGAGAGAATGTCTTATCAGCACACAATGTTATATCACAGCAGCTTAATCTATGATAGATCACGGCAGAATAACGCTGGTCCACGATACAGAAATATGCCAGGTAAGGTCAACCTGACAACACTGCGCCAGGTGGGAATAGCTGTATGACAATCACATTCCATGCTAACGAGGCAGACAGGTGTATTCTGACATGGTGATATATTTCTAGTACCCAGCTGTGTGGGGCAACACAGGCCAGTTGAGGATGGGCTGTATTCACACTGGGATATTAGCTGAGAGGCTGTATTCACATGGGGATATTAGGCAAGGGGCTGTATTCACACAGGGATATTAGCTGAGAGGCTGTATTCACACAGGGATATTACCCGAGGGGCTGTATTCACACAGGAATAGTAGCGGAGGGGCTGTATTCACACAGGGGTATTAGCCGAGGGGCTGTATTCATACAGATATTAGCTGAGGGGCTGTATTCACACGTTGATATTAGCTGAGGGGCTGTATTAACACAGGGATATTAGCTGAGGGGCTGTATTCACACAGAAATATTAGCTGAGGGGGCTGTATTCACACAGGGATATTAGCTGAGGGGCTGTATTCACACAGGGATATTAGCTGAGGGGCTGTATTCACACAGGATATTAGCTGAGGGGCTGTATTCACACAGGATATTAGCTGAGGGGCTGTATTCACACAGGGATATTAGCTGAGGGGCTGTATTCACACAGGGATATTAGCTGAGGGGCTGTATTCACACAGGGATATTAGCTGAGGGGCTGTATTCACACAGGGATATTAGCCGAGGGGTCTGTAGTGTTGTACTGTAACATGGACTAAGCGCAGGAGTGTCCGAGTGCCTTTAATTTAACATAGCAGTGACAGTTGTAGCAACATGGTGAGGAAACAGGAGTAAGGTGTTGTCGACTCATGATCCGTGTCAGTGTCAGGTGTTTCACCATCCAGAGAGATTCCTTTAAGAATGTAGGTCCCTGGCAACATTGGCAATGTTCTACCTCTATGATGGTCATCTTTAATTGTTCACATCTTGGCCAGACAATCCAGTGATTGATATCATGAGCATCAATCAATTAATGATTAAGATATGGTGTCGTGCAATCAACAAGTCACTGAGTCTGGCAATACGTTGTTACCAGACCAGCATTGATTCAGGGCTAGATTCGCAGAAAACTCACCAAAACTTGAATATCGATCATTGACGTTTGATTTGATAAATTACAAAGAAACTTGTTGAAGCAGAAAGTCTCTTTAATCTTTCAAGAACATGAGAGACTTGGTAGTTGACCTAATCTGCGATCTCCTGAATTATTTATGATGTGAAGGATTTTCTTCTGGTGGAGCATGGCACTGCATCAGTTTATACTTCTCTTTTCTGTGCAGATGTCGGAAGGAAAGGTTGGGAGGTTATTGTGTGGAAGTTCTGGTGCATTGTCTGTCATTGAAAGAGTGATTGTGGTGTTTCATTTGTTTTATGTCGAGACTAACATTGTATGTGATGTAATTGTTGTTGCCATGGAGACGAGACATTGTGTTACCTTGACATGAAAATGAGACAGTGTTGGGATGGATATGAAGTATTTTGATGAAACATTGTGTTTCCACAGAGATCAGTTATGTTGCCATGGAGACCAGTTATTGTGTTGCCATGGAGATGAGACATTCTCTTATCCCTGTCAGCTTTGGTTTTGTCCACCATTGTATGTGGGGCTTAGAACTGTGTATGAACAAATGAAGGTATTTGAGAAATATGAGATAGTTTGGCTAAGGTGCTTGTATTGAAAATGGAAGACATAGAGAACTGATGGATTCAGGATCACGCCTGAGCTGAAGCAGTTGTGTAGTCTGGCTGTATTTGTGTAGGTCTGTACTCGCGTGGCACAGCAGGCGGTCAGACAGCAGTGATGTAGTGACGTCAATATGTGGACACAGGTAGAATATGTGCCTATGACACCATCTTACAGGTTACACAATAACAAATGTTTTCGCATAGACTTCCATAGTAAATATATTACACAATATCATTCAATCACAACTGTGACATGCTCCATCTGAATTGACATTTACTTACAATACTCGCTCAGGGAATAACTGATTTTTATTTAGTATAGTAGAACCTATAGTAGCCAATCTAGCTTATATAAAAGGACCGAAAAGAAAGGATTTTATGTTTGCTTCATTTATTTATTTCTGGTGATATTTCCAAATACTGAAGAGTGGTTTGATGCCAGACAACTCATCTTACCTTTACACAGTTACCTCCCTTGTTCTGGCTGGCAAAGATTTGGTCAAGATCAACATTTTGACGATATCATCATTATCTTAGCAGCAATACTGCTTGATTCAGTACAATTTTATTGGGTGTTGGGGAAAGCAATGATAGGAAATGTTTCTTTCATTTTCATGGAGAGACAGGGAGCAGATCTTCATGATTTCCAGTGTTTTGCTGTTCTTCAACAGAATTTTGAAATGATACATATGTAACAGAATGTTGTATGATGATTCTCCTGTTTTCAGGGAACCCCGGAAGATTGTATTAAAGAAAGGTTCCACTGGTCTCGGGTTCAACATCGTCGGTGGGGAGGATGGAGAAGGCATCTTCTTGTCGTTCATACTGGCTGGTGGTCCGGCTGATCTCAGTGGAGAACTTCGAAGAGGAGACCAGATACTGTCTGTGGGTGGAAAAGATGTAAGTACTAGATACTACTGGTAGTACAACATCCTTTATCTCTATGATGGGGGTAGCCTAGCAGGTAAGGTGTTGGATCATCTTGTGAAAGACCTGGGTTCTTTTTCCTTCATGGTTAAATTGTGTAAAGACATTTCTGGTGTCCCCACTTAGATGCTACAAAATATCTCCTTTGAATTTCTGGCATGGTAGACTAGCAGTAACAGTAATGGCTCATTCCTCACACTGTTACAATGTGTAAAGCAACTTAGTCGTGTCCTCGATGTGATACAAATACATTATCTTTTTGAATTTCTGGTAAGGTAGCAAAGCACATACATTCACATCCCCACCATGATAAGAAAATACATATTTCCTTTATGTTTGTGGTGGGGTGGCCTAACAGTTGAGGCGTTAGCTCATTGCTCAAAAGTCCTGGGTTCAATTCCCCACATGGTTCAATCTTTCTGTTTCTGGAGGCCCAGTCTGGTCCAGTGATCCAAGAGTCCCTAATCTGCTTTTCAGATTGTCATCCCATGACCATGATACAACACTGTCATCAAATCCTTCTTTCAAATATTGTGTTTTAATGGGCTGGATGGAAACAGAATCTTTTTCTACCAATTCATTGCTTGTTTTAATGCATCTTTAATGCAATTTAGAGTATTACTCACCTGCAATCAAGTCAACAGGTTCACCTTCCTATTGTATGATTGTCAAACACTGAGTACACCTGTACTGATGTGACAACACCCACATGGTCTCGGTACCACCCAGCACTTCCCCCCACCCTTCCCCCTACCCTTCAACTCAGTAGTGGTGATCTGATTAATTGAAATAATCGAAGATTGGTCGCAGTGACTAAATGACCAAGCAATCGATCATGTTTTCTCACAATCTAACACAAACAATTCAGGAACACTTGTTTTCATCAACAATATTTTTCACAATGTTGGTTTTGTCTGTTACATTTCATAAGCACTCCAAGCGTTCCAGGTCATGATTGAATTTATCTTAAAGACACCAAGAAATTTGTTCTTAACATACTAGTCATCCTTTAAAGATGTGAAATTTTGAACACAAAAAAGCAAAATAACTACATGTTTTTTTCCTTATTTTTGTGCATTAACAAATTTCATAAATGACGCTAACCAATATTTTCGATGGTTGATCGGTGGTAATGAACCAATCATCAGTTGTGAGATTTTAACCAATTCCCAACAACTCAGTTACTAGATTTATGTGCAATTATAGTGTATACATGTGTAACTGTAGTGAACATAAGTGTAGTCATAATATATACAAGTGTAAATATAGTTATATGAGTGTAGCTTTTGGGTATATAAGTGTAACTATAGTGTATATAGTGAATGAAATGTTTGAATAAGCTCAAATTTTCTTCTTTGTTATAAACATGCTAAAATCTTGTAAATGTTATTATAAGATCTAACAACACAAAAAGTGTTTGGTATTTGCAAAACAGGAACTGCAGTAATGAAAAGAAGGTAGAACTATTTATCTGCATGTTTCCCTACAGAAAAATTTGCGATCAACATTCACTTAAAGATCATTTCATGTTTTACAGTGAGGCTTCACAAACCAAATAAGATACATGTTTATTATGTTTTTACTGAGCCAAACTAATAAGAACTACTGACCAAAAACCCTGATGAATGACTGTGCCCCTCCCCCTCTCCTTCCGCCCTAGTCCTAGCCCCACCCCCACTCCCTCCTCCCCCTCCCCTACCTGATTGTGACCTATTGAGTCACGGTAATCCCATTGCTCTCTGTTAGCATTGTCCCGAACTGACCCTATTGTCTTTGATCAATTATAGTAGCGTAGATCACTTCACACTGCTGTTTAATCCCTGCCCAGACAAAGCAGGGATAATCCACTGAGTCAGCTGGAGTAGGGTTAATCCCTGAGTAGACTTAATCCAGTTATGTGACCAGGTGTCCCCAGGCTTAGCCATTGAGGCTTTGGCCATTGCTCCTTCTCCAGGCATCTCACTGCTTCTATATAGCACGAGATCAATCCTGGCAACACCACTTCATTAGTCTTACAGTTTCATCAGAGTTTCATAAAACTGATTCTTGATTTACCAAATATCTGTGAAAGGTTTGAAACTGGTGTAGACGCTGTTGTAACAATTCCTGGATTTACTGTTAAAATTAGTCTGGGATTTTTCACATCTTGTTTGTGTGGATCCGATAGTATTGTGATTCCTGCCCCAGTAGTGGAGTTTGAAAGTTTGTCAGCAGCCCAGCAGTATGAAGTGGTTCCAGTTGACTTGTGGACTTCGTCCCGTTGCCTATCAGGATCTGACCCGTACATGCAGTGTAATGTTTATGATTACTGCTTTAGTCAGTTTTTTATATGATTGTATCAGGGTTTATAGAAATATATGAGCTTTGTGTACAGGTACGAATTAGCCATGTTGATGATTCTTATCATATTTGAATCGCAAGGGGATTCTTAAACAGAAACATTCTAATGTAATCACTTGCCTTACAAGGGGTAGATGCCGTTGTTCATATCCAAGTAAGTCAAAATGTTATGAAAATGACTAGACCCTCAGACTTATCCATGCTTACTAGAATTGGGTGGTCAGACTCACTGACTTTGTTGACACATGTCAACTTACCCCAGTTTTGATCACTGGATTGTCTGGTCCAGACTCACAGACCACCGCCATATAGCTGGAATATTGCTGAGTGTGGCGTAAAACAAGAAAACCAGCTAAAACAAAACTATCCCTGTGTACTGGTTAAATGTATGCCTCACAAATATTTCCTCATGCTGTCAAAATCCTGCCTGGTTCAAGCTAGATATATCCCTGAGTATTATTGACAATGTATGAACATGCCACATGTTTCTGAACTAGAAGAGAAAGTTAATTGTGTCGTTGATGTTGCAGATGAAGCATGTGGAGTTGTTGCATGCGACACATGAAGATGCAGCAGCTGCACTCAAAGGCGCTGGCGATACTGTGGACATAGTTGCTCAATATAAACCAGAAGGTACGTCAGCTTGTCCACAACACTTGATACTGTGGAAATAGTTGCTCAATATAAACCAGAAGGTACGTCAGCTTGTCAACAACACTTGACCTGGGTGGCTGGGTAGAGATAGGTTTCCTGTTTCCTACGCATGTCACAGAAGAGGATCTTGCTGCCATTTTACAAAACAACCTGAAGATGTTAACACCCATATCATAGACTGCTGACAGTCACAGCTCCACAACAGCACAAAGATCAGGGTGGGTGGGGTTAAGGAGCTGGCCATATCCAAAACTTTGACTTGTGTAAAGATACAGGTTCATATTACGTTGCGTGTTGCATGAGGCTACTACAGGGATGGGTAGCCTGATTCGCTCACTTGGTAAAAGTATGTCACAGTATCCTTTGCTCAGTTACATGGGTGGCAAACTCACAAATTGCTCCTACCACTTTCAGATATATATTTTATCTCTCCACAAATCTGATACAGAGATGCCATATTAGTAGTTTCAGTGGCCTCGATAAATGTCACCAACCTTAGAAGTTTAGCCTCTGACAAGCAGGCAATTGTATATCATTTGCCCTGCTCTCTCACCCTCTTAATGTGAATGTTTAAATAATTTTTCAAATCTCCTCAGTTCCCGTTCTTTGATCATGCAGTAAAGACCATGCTTAATGTGGGAGTTATTTTTTAGCAGTAGTGTATCAGCTTTCACTTAGGTAATGGCACAGTCATTGATATCTCTTCAAAGAAGGCTATAAATTATGCATATCTCTTGCAGTTAATTACAGATATTAGGATCTTGGCAGGGATAAATTGGAACCTTCCGTCTCTAACTGAATTAGATCAAAGGCAACAATAAAAGAAATTATGACATGTATCCACGTAAGGAAGGAAGGAGTGAGTCTGATATTGAATCTCTGGTCGTTCCTTCTTTGCCCAGTTACATAATGGTATTTGTCAGTGTAGGACCAACTGACGAAAGAGTGTGGTTCCACTATAAAAAGACATGTAAGGAAGAAGTGTATTATCATAAGCGGCGAATCTCAAGTCCTGGTTCCTGGTAGAGCTTTGTAATAGATAGATTGTCAGTGTAGGTCTCTGACGGGCATTTAGAAGTGATACACATAAGGAAGAGAGTTTTATGGATGTCCACGTCTTTATTGTAAGGAACACAACATTTTGGAGTATATCCTTACTCCTTCATCAGGTGAAATGGATGAAGGAGTAAGGATATACTCTGAAACGTTGTGTTCTTCATAACAATGAAGCTGACATCATAACAGTCTCTTCCTTAGCTTTGCATGTGTCTGATAGAGAGCGTTATTTCAGAATACAACCGATTTGAAGCGAAGATTCAAGACCTGCGAGAACAGATGATGAACACGAGCACTGGCAGCCTGAGGACCACACAGAAGAAGACATTATATGTCAGGTGGGTTGTAGGTGGCACATATGGTGGTCTGGTGCAACAGGTCTAGGTTCTAACCCAGTTTGTTTTAAAAACATCAACAGATAGGTTGCAGATTGCATGGGGTGACTTTGTACCATGACCCTAGGGTCACAGCTAGTTTATTTTGAAGACATGTAAGTTGAGTGAGTGAGTTTTTTACGTCTCTTTTAGCAATATTCCAGCTATATCATGACGGGGGACACCAGAATGGGCTTTACACATTGTATCCATGTGGGGAAACAAACCTGGGTCTTTAGCGTGACAAGCGAACACTTTAACCACTAGGCTACCCCACATGTAAGGCCAACTGTAGGAGGCACAGTTCTGGGTTCAGTCCTTGTTTGTTGTATGTAGCCCTTTGTAGGGTCATAGTCAAATAATGACTAGAATATTTTTGTGACAGAAGACCATGTTGATGCTTAATGCTTTTCGTTGGTTTTCCTTGGACTATGGTGGAAAACCAAGATGAAACTCAGATGTAGATATGAAACAGTTGGGTAGCCCAGTGGTAAAAGCGTTCACTCACTCATCAAACATGTTATGTAAATTCAGGTAAATTTGATTTAAAATTACGAAAGGAACATTCTAAATTAATGGCCAGTTTGTGTCGTTGTAGTAATCAAGGGGAGATAACTTGCAACGTCTCATTGATGCTTTGAAAGATATTTAAGAACCAGCCACATGGTAGGTGTGTTTAGTGTATATGATTGTCACTGTGTTAGTAATTCTGTTTTTGTTGTTTTCAGAGCATTATTTGACTATGACCCTACAAAGGACAGCGGCTTACCGAGCAAGGGTCTGGCATTCCGTTACGGCGACATTCTCCATGTCACCAACGCCAGCGACGATGAATGGTGGCAGGCAAGGCGGATCACCCCTGAGGGGGATGAAGAAGGGATGGGCATCATTCCCAGCAAACGCAGGTACGTGGCTGTGTACTCTCCTCAGGGAGCTGAGGTAATAATGCTTGTAACATTCCAGAATATGCTTGATAAATATAGGTTGTCTGTATGTCAAAAACTGAATAGCATGTTATATTTACTTGATTATTCCAACCATTCTTTTAAGTGGATATATAAACTTTGAACTAAAATTCAAACTGAAGTTCAAAATTCTATTAAGAAAGTTTGAGATAATGAAATTCCAAGTATGTTGGGGTATTTCGAATTCATGTAATGTCGATAGAGAGTGATCCTATATTCCTTGTGACTATTTCAGAGTTGAAAGGAAAGAAAAGGCCAGGTTAAAAAATGTGAAGTTTACAGGCAAGAGTTCCAGCAACAATGATCGGATCAATGTAAGTATTTTCAATGCGTATACATCTCTGATAGGAAAATATTCACACCATGAACTAGTTGGCTGCATCAGCACACATTACTCAAGTAGGGCACCTGCTATAATCGGTGATACATCATAAATCCTTCACTTCCTTTTGTGTTCAGATTTTAAAGAACTTTCTAAATATATTTCCCTTCATAAAAATATGACATTGGAGGCTTTGTAACTAAAATTCTAATTTATTTATTAAATATTTATATATATTTTTTCAGCAATCAGCAGCAGCCAATGACAGGAAAAAGAAGAATTTCTCCTTCTCTAGAAAGTTTCCTTTCATGAAGAGCAAAGACCACAGTGGTTCGGAGGACATCAGCGCTGACGAACGTATGTACATTTTACCGAGGTCGCAGTAAAACCTGTTCTGATTGGCTGCTGACTCAGTTGTTCCGCTTATTGTAGCAAAATGAAACTAGTCCAGCTGTCCAGCAATCTAACAATAACAACACTGTCTGAAAATATATTGTTTTATAAATATGCAGCAATATTATATACATATATTATATCTACCGTGATATTTAGATTTTTCTTGTAGTAATGACGAGACTGTCAGGTATGAAATGTAACATGTTATATTTGGTATTTTACTTTCTCAGTGTGATAAATGATTAATATATTAATTCAGGATTATACTTTTATCAGTGAAACTGGTGTTTATAGAAGGGCACTAACTGTTTGAAGTGTTCATGCTTTCCTGAATGTTATTCAATGTTGTTTGATTTGTCTTTTAATGCTTCCCAGAAGGTAATGTTTCCATCAGCTTTTGTAGCTTGCTACAGTTCTCTACATGTTGTTCAGCAAACATAAGAAAAGACAAATAATTAGAATGATTTTATTACCAAGGGACAGAAATGCGGGACAAATGTCATACAATCAAAGTTACTGGATTTGATTATTACAGCTGTACAGTTAAGGGGAGATAATCAACGTAGTCAGATTGAAGTGAGCAAATGATTACAATCGCCACTGATAATATTCACCATGTGAATATGCCAGACCAAAATTAGTTGACTTATTTCAACACTTAATATTTATTAATTCGTTAAATAATAATATAAAAATTTTTATGAAATAGGCTAGTTGGTAATTTGCTTGTCATTTGCTTGTGAGTACATTTGCCACATGGGTGCAGCACCCTTGCTGTGATGTGGCTGGCATATTGCTGACAGTGGCAGAACTATTCCCACCCACTAAACCGAGTAATTCTTGAATGCCAGTTACTGAAAGTGATTACTAATAGTGCTTCTTGTGTTTTGATCTCCAGAGGGTATGACAGCAGTGGAAGGTTACTATCATTTGTCTTTATTGCTCAGAGCTTCTGTCGTAGATGTAGTCCATGTTGTCCTAGAATATACCTGCTTTGTATATTGTGTCATAGGGGCATTACGAGGCATTTCGCACTCTCATCAGCAGAAATTAATGCAGGGTGCGGTGAAAACAGAATGAAGCAACTTCAGACTCAATCTTTTAAATCAATTTTAAAAATTTGACCATGTTATAAAAACTTTGACAATTTGTTTGGTTTGTTTTATACTTTTTACTTCTTTATTTTTACAAAATATTTGAAGTAAGGGAAACTGTAATTGTACAGAGAGGCTTGATTTCACAAACTTTGTCAACTTTATCCTGATATATATGTTGAATTTCACATCAGACTGAAAGGCTATTCCTAAACAACAGTCAATGAAGTGTAAGCGTGGTGATCGCGATGCCCCTATCATGTTGCAGGAACTAAGAAAATCAAGTACCAGTACTAATTAACCTCTAAAAGCTATTAGATATTTTTGCATTTATTTTATTGATCCAACTAAAATTTGCATGAAATATAATGTAGTGAAGCAACTTGAGAAGAATGACAGCATTAATTGTTTTTTTAATAGTTAGATGTTAGATGTAGTTTGTGGTGAACAGTAGCTAGATATTTAAAAGAGGAAATAATAATTGACTTCTTTTTGAGTTTATGGTAAATATATTAAATGATATATATTAACTTGTAATACATGCTACTGATACTATGATAATACTGTGTAATAATACTGTACAATGTTGTGCTACCCCCGTCTGTCTGTACTAACAATTCCCATTTACTTGTTGCTCTCTGCTTCACAGAAGGTAACTTGTGTTTAATACCTCATTTATGAGGGTTTGCTTCTGTAGATGTAGCCATTTTGTTTTAGATAGTCGTGGTGCTGGTATATATTTAGTTTCAGATTTGAGGATATGACTTTGGAGATTTTTTAAACTAAATCCAAAACTCAATTCATTTCAGTTATAATATCTTCAACATCAGATTTGATAAACGCCAAAGTAATGTTGTTAAGAGCAGATGTTCATATCCTCAAAAGATTCCTGTGTATGCTTTTGCTGTGAAATCAAAAATAAGCTTCTTATTGAAGCAGCTCTAGCGCATTATTAATGGTTCAGGGAGGTTTGTCCAGCAAAGTGTTGTGGAAATGTTAACAGTGTGATCAAATAATTAATTTTTATTTGACATGTCTGTTTATTAAGGAGATGTGTTGCAATGGGACTTTTCATGTTGCCTTGTGTCCGGTACTGAATATTTAATTTAAATATGTTTAATTGTTTGAAGGGTGACAGTTTGCTTTGAATGTCAAAAAGAATTGACTTTTTTTGCCAATATGTTAATCTTTACTTTTCATGTTGTGCCATCCTAGTTAATCATCAATGCCACCCCGACTGAAGGATGGTGACATACATGGTGGTTGATACAGTGTCATATAGCATTAGTTGTGAGGAATATAGTATCAAATGTCACATATATATGTTATATGTCTTGTCTGCTTCTCTCCTATAAAATCATAAAAACAATAGTAATAACAATTATAATAAAAGTGAAAGTTACAAATTTATTATTCAGGAATAGTTCATTACATTAGGATAATAATGACTGGGTTTTTGAGAGAATCAGGGCAGAAAATGCTCTTCATGTTAAAAACATCCAGGTGTGTTTCCATCATGTTTTAAAGCATTAAAAGCCTTGTTTGCTGCCCCTGCCATGATACATTTGAAATATTAATGAGCATCATAAGGGGTTGACCATTAAATATTCTGGTTATATCTGTTTTTAGACCAATATGTTTTCTGAAACTGCTAGTGGTTTATGTGTTCGCTTATCTGGCTCAAGACATGGGTTTTATTCTCAAGATGGGAAAACTTTAGTGAAACTGTTCAAAGATTTCCAGGAATCTTTCAAATTATTAGACAACACCAGAATATGAAATGGTTGTTCCCTAAGTAAAGGGTTGATCTCATCAGTTCACTTATCACACATGTGTTCCCTGATGCAGTGTGTTCTAGGTTGAAGTGGTACTTACACCGTAGATAGAGATCCTACGGCTTCCATTGCCTCCTATCATATTCCCCTGCAGACTGTCTCAAACATTGCATTTGTTATTTCAAAGTAAGCTTTCCATTTAGACTAACCACCATAACAACACATACATTTAAAAATAATGCCCATTATGTAGGTTGTATTTTGCCCATTGTGTAGGTTGTATTTTGCCCATTATGTAGGTTGTATTTTGCCCATTATGTAGGTTGTATTTTGCCCATTATGTAGGTTGTATTTTGCCCATTATGTAGGTTGTATTTTGCCCATTGTGTAGGTTGTATTTTGACCATTATGTAGGTTGTATTTTGCCCATTATGTAGGTTGTATTTTGCCCATTATGTAGGTTGTATTTTGCCCATTATGTAGGTTGTATTTTGTAGGTTGTATTTTGACCATTATGTAGGTTGTATTTTGCCCATTGTGTAGGTTGTATTTTGACCATTATGTAGGTTTATTTTGACCATTATGTAGGTTGTATTTTGCCCATTGTGTAGGTTGTATTTTGCCCCCATTATGTAGGTTGTATTTTGCCCATTGTGTAGGTTGTATTTTGCCCATTATGTAGGTTGGCCCATTATGTAGGTTGTATTTTGCCCATTATGTAGGTTGTATTTTGCCCATTATGTAGGTTGTATTTTGCCCATTGTGTAGGTTGTATTTTGCCCATTGTGTAGGTTGTATTTTGACCATTATGTAGGTTGTATTTTGCCCATTATGTAGGTTGTATTTTGAATATATGTAGATTTTATTCTGGAAAAAATCTGTCTGGCATCTTTTATTCTTGATTTATTAGCATTAAATTCATTTTAAGAGATTATTTGTACACTTACTTTGAAATATCACAAAGAGTTTTGAGACAGTCCCTTCCACCTATCATGTATGTTGTGTACTTCATGGCATGTTCGTTTTCCCCACAGGAAGCGTAGCAAGTGACAATGACACTAGTTATCGTAAGTAAAGCTTCAGCGACCTTCAACCAAGGGGGATAACTCTAACCCACTACCTTCATGTTGGAGATACTGCATCTCCTTGAATCTAATGTGGCATGCAGACTTGCATGGCTGCGCTAACCAGATTGTTCTATGATAATACACATTCTTGCTACAGCCTGCTTCACATCTCTTCTTCTTGAAAACCTGGAGTTGATGCAGTGAACTCTTCCACACTGTTTCAGCTCCATCTTTACAATACTGTTGGGAATCAGTGTGGATTTTCTGATAACTGTCAACTTTGTTATTCGCGCTGATCCCTAACAACTTTTGAGTAATATGTTATTTTTCAACTCACTTCCAAATGTTCATCTTTTTTTACCTTGTGTAATTTAAGATGGATTTACATTGTCTGCCTTTGCTAAACTTCCATCATTCCGAGTCAATCCTTGATAGAGCCATTGTCTGTCCACCTCTTTATAACTCCATCAATTCACTCCCTATATAGACCTGTGAAGGTCTGTGTTAGAATTGATCTTCAGTAACCCATGCTTGTCATAAGAGGCGACTAACGGGATCGGGTGGTCAGGCTCGCTGGCTTGATTGACACATGTCATCAGTTCCCAATTGCGCATATCGATGCTCATGCTGTTGATCACTGGATTGTCTGGTCCAGACTCGATTATTTACATACCGCTGCATATAGCTGGAATATTGCTGAGTGTGGCGTAAAACTAAACTCACTCATTCACTCCCTATATAACACATCAGTCAATCCACCCCTAGATGACCCTTCAGTCCACCGTGAACTAACACTCATTAGTCAATCCACCCCTATATTACCCATCAGTCTATCCAACCCCCATATAATATCCATCAGTCAATCCACCCCTTTATAACCACCATCAATCCACCCCAAAATAACACCCATCAGTCAATCCACCCCTAAAAGACAAATCAGTCAATCCACCCCCAGTCAGTCCACCCGTATAAAACCTCCATTAGTCAGGGAAGACCTCCATCCACCTGTTATCACGCTGGGGAAGACCTCCATCCACCTGTTATCATTCTGGGGAAGACCTCCATTAATCTGTTATCACGCTGAGGGAGACCTCCATACATCTGTTATCATGCTGGGGAAGACCTCCATTAATCTGTTATCATGCTGGGGAAGACCTCCATCCACCTGTTATCATGCTGGGGAAGACCTCCATTAATCTGTTATCACGCTAGGGGAGACCTCCATACATCTGTTATCATGCTGGGGAAGACCTCCATCCACCTGTTATCACGCTGAGGGAGACCTCCATACATCTGTTATCATGCTAGAGAAGACCTCCATCCACCTGTTATCATGCTGGGGAAGACCTCCATTAATCTGTTATCATGCTGGGGGAGACCTCCATCCACCTGTTATCATGCTGGGGAAGACCTCCATACATCTGTTATCATGCTGGGGGAGACCTCCATACATCTGTTATCACGCCATGTAGCAAGGATGTGTATTGTACAATGACCTGCTGAAGCTTTGCCTTGCAACACAGTAGCTAGTCTCACCACCATTCTATGAGAATTGTACGTGACAACCACTCCTTAATCCTTACCACTAACTCTTTAACACAGCATATCTGCATGTCTTTAAACTCCATTCTCTTCCTATTCTTACTAATATATTGATGAGACAAGCTTTTGTTTCTTTCATTACATCATCTAACTTACCTATAACCTGTTCAAGATGTCATCAAATATGTTGGAAATAGTTTTTCAGTTTTCTTCTTTCAAGTTTCGAATCACCCTTCTATATTTCCAGTCTGCTGTAAGATGTGAAAACATCACCATGATGACCTCCTCTTGTTACATGTAACCCAGCTTCAGAATGTAACCATTTTCCATCTGCTAAAGAAATATATTTATGTTGCAATTCCTGCCATAAGTTTTACTTTTATCACTATTCTCATCTCATTGTATTCCTCATCATCGGGTGGCCCAGCAGCCCATTCCACAGCAAGATACTCAGGTTTGCCAGGATCTCTGGGTTCAAATCCCAATTTCACCCTATGGTACCAAGTCAGGCCGTTTCTTCGTTAACGTCAGTGTGGTCAGGAACAGACACCACATGACTGAAATAGAGTTATAGGTGTCTGGACCAGCCAGTGGTATGATTACATGTAGTCAGGTGGCCACGTACCAAGGTACAATCTGTCCCTCCTGTCCAAGCCAGTGCTGCTACTAATGATGATGATGATGATGTTGCAGGTGGAGACGAACCTATTCTGTCCTATGAAGCAGTGCTTCAGCAGGAGTGTAAGTAGAAACACCCAAACCATTCATTACAATCTGGAGGCTTGCAAATGATATTTTGTATTCTATTACCCTGATCTGCCCTGTCTTAGAATGGAAACTCATTCTAGCTATTGTGATGTATTGTTAAGGACATACAAATTTACTGTATGTGTTAGTTGGTTTGTAAGAAACTTAGAAAGTACCTGGTATTCTTAATGTTCACCAACTTCTAAAATGCCAATTAAACAGTTGGTTGTTTCTTTTTTTCTTTTTTTGGGGGTATTTTGTTTGTTTTGGGTTTTGGGGAGTGTTGTTGTTTTTGGGGGTGTTGTTTTTCTTTCTTTCTTTTCCTTTTGCAAATCTCAACAGTAAAAAATATAAAACAAATATATAAAACTAAAATCTCTTAGCAGAATATATACATGCTGCACTCGGTGCAAAAATGCTAATTTGTCAATCTCAGCATGTACAGGGTGGGCAGGATGTGGTAGCGGTATAACGTTCATGTCATTTCAGTGTTACTGTAATCTTTAGTTACCAATCTAACAAAAATGCTAATTCGTTAAATCTCAGCATGTACACTGACAGGGATACAAAGGTAACGATGGACACAGCATGGTTTTAGTAGAGGTGTCATCGTCCCTAAGATCTATAGTTACCACCAACAGGGGGAGGTAATCATGTGTGTGATATGATTGTTTCAGTGCGGTACACGCGGCCTGTGATTATCCTGGGGCCTCTCAAGGACAGGATAAATGATGACCTCATCTCAGAATTCCCAGACAAATTCGGCAGCTGTGTGCCTCGTGAGTCTCAAAAACTGTTGAATATCAAAAATATAATCCAGAAGTGATAGCACCAAGAAAACTTCACCTTATTTTATTATAAATTACACAGAACATTTTATTCAGAATTTAAAAATTTCAATATTACTATCTCCATGTTCTATTTGGGGATGTCCTCATTGAAAATGAAATACAGCATTGAATCTTCCAATGCATATTAACCTCACCAGGGATTGTGTTAACCTGAAGGATCAAGCTGTTGTCACACCATAAGTCTAGGTTTTATTCCGCAATGGGAACATTTTATAAAGCCAACTGGTGGCTACTATTGTATATGCTAAAAAACGACTATGAAAGCAAGGACTCATGGGAAATGTCCTGTATTGTGTGGAGTCAGTATGATGTGCTGTGGACTGACGTGCCTCTTGTTCCTTCAGACACAACGCGGGAGCGACGAGACTACGAGCAGGATGCCCGAGATTACCATTTTGTGGCGTCACGGGAACAGATGGAGAAAGACATTCAGAACCATCTATTTATAGAAGCTGGTGTTTATAACGACAACTTGTATGGAACAAGTGTGGCCTCAGTGAAAGAAGTTGCGGAAAATGTAAGTGTAGATCTTAGATGGAGGTCACAATGGCCAGACTGTTGTTTATTACAGCTAACAGTAAACATGTCAACTCCCTGTCACATCTAATGGTCATCTAATTCTGTGTTTGTTTGCCCAGCCACAGTGTTTACCATCTGTAACATCCTCTCTTATCATCCTGATGGAAAATATTTGTTTATTTCTCCCCTGACTGCAAATATGTTTACCTCCCTTTGACAGTAAATGTTTTGTTATTTATTCACTAATAATACATATGCCCCAGGGACATTAGATGTTTAATCCTCTGTTTTGTAACAATGTTACCCACTATAAGTTAATACATTGTTCCATTAACCACTGAAAGTAAATACATTGTTTCCTTACCCACTTACAGTAAATATATTTATCTCAGTGACACTTTGTGTATCACGCCTGTACATATGTGTGGCAGTAAATATATTTATCTCAGTGACACTTTGTGTATCACGCCTGTACATGTGTGTGACAGTAAATATGTTTATCTCAGTGACACTTTGTGTATCACGCCTGTACATGTGTGTGACAGTAAATATATTTATTTCAGTGACACTTTGTGTATCATGCCTGTACATATGTGTGACAGTAAATATGTTTATCTCAGTAACACTTTGTGTATCACGCCTGTACATATGTGTGACAGTAAATATGTTTGTATGTTTCCAAGCAGAAGAAGCACTGCATCTTGGACGTGAGCGGCAACGCCATTAAGCGACTGCAGGTCGCAGGTCTCTACCCCATCGCCATCTTCATCAAACCCAAGTCCATCGACTCCATCATGTAAGGCCAAGAAAATAGGCTGACACTGTATACAAAATCTAGCGGTGTTGTCCTCATGGGTTCATTTTTAATCCAAACAACAGATACAGTTCATTATGTATTCAAAATGATTTCAAATTGGCAGTGTTCACGAATAGCGTCTGACCCTCTGACAAATCCGGCAGATCCGCCAATGGTCCAATAGAAGTCTACAACCCGCCTGTCTGACTGTATATTTCACAATGACTTTGACTGAAGTTGTTATATGGGAAATGTGACACCTGTTTGCTGTTTATAAATCTTATGTTTGTTTATAATTTCAGTGCCAATTATAAGAAATGCTAAATCTGAAATGTGTGTTTAATTTTATTCTATGGGTCTTGTGAATTTTCAATGGGTCAGACAGACATCTGAAACTTACAGGACCCAATGTCCTGTTCCTTTGAAACGCGATTCGTGAACACTGAATTGGCCGCACAAAAAGTTTCCAAATCAGATTCCAGGTCCGTGGTAATGTTCATGTGAAATTCAATGATAAAACTGGTCATGTCATCCCCGATCGATGCTCATGATGTCAATCACTGGACTGACTCAAGTATATAAAGATCAACCAAGGCTACCAAGATACATATATGTCAGTCACAGGATGGTCTGGCACAGACTTGATTACAGGCTGTTGTCATTATCAGAGTATGGTATGTACAAAGTATGAACATCATGTGAACGTGACATCTGATTGTGTCGACAGGGAGATGAACAAGAGAATCACAGATGAGCAGGCACGGAAGACCTACGAGCGGGCCTTGAAACTGGAGCAGGAGTTTGGGGAGTATTTCACAGGTAAGTGGAACAGAATCTGTTTGGGAGTATTGAAAGGAACAGCCGCAGTGTCTTTGGTTGTAACAATGCTACCAGTGAACTGACTGACTGAGTTTTGTTTTACGTCACTTTTAGCAATTTTCCAGCAATATCACGGCGGAGGACACCAGAAATGGGCTTAACACATCGTGCCCATGTGGGGAATCGAACCCGGGTCTTCAGCGTGACGAGCCAACGCTTTAACCACTAGGCTACCCCACCACCCCTCTACCAGTGAAGGTCCGGGTTAGAATTGGTCTTCATCCCATGCTTGTCGAAGAGGCTTAATAACAGGATCGTGGTCAGACTCGCTGACCTAGTTGACACATGTCATCGTATCCCAAATGCGTATATCGATGCACATGCTATCAATCATTGGATTGTGTGGTCCAGACTCACTGTAACAGTAGGTCTCTGGAGCTGGATGAGACTTGTGGCAATAGATGCTGTGGGATTGCTTCATCCCCATCATGCAGAGTCGACAGAAGTTACAAATATTTGTGCCTTGTTATTTTAACTCACTTCAGACAAGAGAACAAGATATTTATCATCTATAAAGTGGTCCAAGTTTTATAATTGTTCAGCAGTACTAACCAATGTCTTAGTGAAGTTCAGCCACTACTTCAGTAGCAGAGAGTTTAGTGATGTTATTTGATTGTGACATCATGCTGACAAATGATGTCACAATGGTCTGAAAAGGATGTTGATACTATTTTATATTCCCCGGGTCACAATGGTCTGAAAAGGATGTTGATACTATTTTATATTCCCCGGGAAGCCAATTTTGTGTGATATGTTCAAATGTCCCATCGGGTAACAGATTTTTTAGATGTAAATCCAATGGGTAAGAATTGAGAAACAGACAGTACCTTAAAACAACTTTCTTTGAAGGTATGTTTTAGGTAGGAAAACAGCAAGTGACCAATAGCAATGGGAGACTTCATATTTTTCGTTTTTGCTTACTAAGGGTTATCTGCCAATAACTATATGAGTAGAGAAAAAATCTAATGGTATGGTATAATATATTTCAAGAACCCCAAATTTGAAATGTTTGTCTGTGAAGGCGTGTGCCCTTTCCAAACTGTTGGTTCTGATTTGAATATGTTGATTGCTAATTCTGTGATGTCTGTTTCAGCTGTTGTCCAGGGTGACACTGCAGATGAGATCTATGCAAAAGTGAAAGAGGTTATTCGAGACCAGTCAGGACCAACAATCTGGGTTCCAGCCAAAGACAAACTCTGAACTCTTACGTCTTAGAGGAAATAAACTCATAACTTCCGGTCATGTGATAGTCATGTGACAGTCATGTGACTCATAGATGATGCTCAGGCTGTACATTATCTCTTTGTCGGAGACTTTGTGATACTGTAGGAATGATGGGATACTGTTGCTACGACGACCGGACCTGTTGCTATGGTGATCTCAAGATTCTCCTCTGCAGATCTGATCGTGGCTTTCAACATTCACCATACGACCTTGACCTTGACTCAAGCTCTTCCGGATGCTGCTCACCCGTGTATGGTTGGAATCGGAAGATCAGCCGTACACTTTTGCTACTACTTTCAGTTCCCGAGTACTCAAGGCCTTTCCAGGTGTACACTTACAATAACTTGATGGTTGACAGGCCACGTCAGAAAGGTCAAGTGCTGGTAAAGAAGTAAAACTACATGCAGGCTCAAGAGGTGACCTGCAGACACCATGTTTGTGTACAAGTGTATTACTACTTATTTAAGACTTGATTTAGTTGCTATTGACTGTCGGAGCAAGGTATAGCAAGTATAAGCTACGAGCCCATCACATGATTACACGGCTGTGAAAGTATGGAGCACCGTCTCGCCAAATTATTTATTGATGAGCTGTTTCATCAAACTGCAGCCTGCACAAACAATACGATAAAATTCCATCTTTCATTGCGAGATCATTTAGAAAATCAAAACAAGCTGTCATAAAATGCTGGTGTATCATGCATAGTATTTTTAAAGTTTAAACAAGGTATTGTATTGTTTTGATGTACAAACCCTGAAACTGGGCCTATACTGCTGTGATTAAGGGATGTATGTAAAAATTGTCAATAACCGTTGCCATGGTAAGATGTTACTTTTGTGTATCCATGGCAACCACAAGTATTTCCATTTTTGTGATGCTCTGCAACTATGGTAGGTTTTAATCAAATGAGTGAGTGAATGGTTATGACAGAACTGTGTAACTTATTCTGCAAGTTGGCTTTTAGTTTCTGAATAGAATAATGCCTTTTCCTGTTGCCATGGTAATCAGTGATTGTCGTATGACTGCAGTTTATCATAACTAGTTGTTGAGCTTCATGCAGTCGTTACTTTTAGTAGACTTATGACCGTTCACTATCATGGCACATTTTTCAGAAGCATTGTTTACTTTACATTAAGTTTTACCAGCTCCTTACACAGTCTAGCTTTCCACCATTGTCGGCAGCCCTCTGGTGGCATTGTTTTAGCTTTGTTATTTAAACACTAGTTTAGCGAGCTGTTTTTGACTGTATCATTTTGATATATATATATTGCAATTTAAAGAACAGCGTATGTAGGCCTGTATAGATGTATCATGACCTTCACCTTGACCTGACCCTCTTGAAAATCACTGTCAGTGATTGGCGGAAATAAACCACTATTTATTCTGGTTTGACTACCTCTAGTTTTCTGTGTTATTTCCTGCATGCTGCTGATAGTTGTTGTGGTGGCAAGGCACATGGTTGCTAAGCAACAACTCCAAGGATTTGCTAGTACGTACGCCAAGAGCTTAGAGGATGTAAAATGATCCATTATTTAAGAAACCATGTCTGTGAGGACAGAGGAAATTGTTGATGTGTTTGTCGGCTAATTAGTGCTTTAAGTTATGTACATTTGTACAAAACAATTCCAGCAACAAAGTACCTATTGTTATGTAAAGTAATGGTTTGTTAAATTGTGCTATGTCAAGTTTCAACCGGTTGAAATTGTCCAGCCAGGTATGTGTCCAGATTTATAAGCCATTGTGTGTGCAAGGGATCTTAGTTATAAGAAGTTTCCCATAGTGGAACCAGACAACATCCCTCACTGTGTTACGTTCAGTGTGATTAATCGTATGAGGATACTAAACCATACATGAAAGTTCAATGGCAATAGAACAGCTATGGTAGAAGGTATCGGAATAATTGGTCCACTCTGTCATTACATAGCATCTCAGAGTCCTACAAACTTTGTTCCATGTATAAGAAGCAAGTGTATGTACAGGATATCAGCCGAGGTCGACAGCCTACAGTGTCATGTATGTCCTCAGTTTTTAGTGGTATGTATGTAAGTTTTCAAGAGGGTCGTCTCCCTTACCTGTAGTCAGCTTGTACATGTAGCTTTTTTCGTTACTTGTCTATATATGTCTACCGTACATCTCTCTTTGTCACTGGGAGGATTTTGCAGGAAAAGTAATTTCTGTCTTGCCCTTGTCTTGTTTGTTCTGGGAGTTTTTTGTCACAAAGGACTTCTGGCTTGGTTTTGGTTTTGCACCTGAAAGTTTTTCTTTCGGTTCTAGAACCAGTCATTATCACCAACCAAGATTACTTTTTCAGCAGATCTCCCAAAGGCATGTTATCATATCATTGATATCAAAGACCACACATCGATATTTGTTGTGTCATACAGTCACCACTCATAGTTCACCTCCGCCTATACACAGTGTAGCTCTCCATTGTGACACAAGGGTTGGACAATACGCAGGTTATATCATGACTTTGTATCCTCACTACACGTATGATGCATATATATATGAGGAGAGTTGATGCTATATGTCCATGGCACTTCTTGGTTTGGCATTATTAAAGATGGCACTGGAATTAAATTTGTACATAAAAAATACGAAAATCATATTTGTTGATCTTTATAGATCTCATCAAGGCAATAAGTTTTTTGTACATTACGAAAGGTACAATGATGCAGGATAGTAATGTCCTTGCAACTTTCACAATTGCTGCTACTCGAATAGTAAGGATAGTCATAAACGTCGACACAGAATTGCCCAACCCTTGTCCAATTATCAAGAATTACTGAAGTGATACAGGGAAAACCTATATGTTATCTATAGAGATGTGAGTGAGGCTATTTATATCATAAATAGCAAATTTATTTATGTGAAATTGTATTTTAATTGATGACAATAATAATAATCATGGCAAAAACATGCGAAATATCGAAACTTGTAAATATTTGAAATTATCGCTTGGGAATATATCCATGCTAAAATGACATTGCTTAAAAGGAGGAAAATGATCACTCACATTTGTTCTATAGATACTTCAGATTAGGGAGTTTACAAATGTTTATTTTAGATGAGAAAAATATTTGCTACTAATTACTTTTTCTGATTTTGGAAATATATTACAACATAATTTAGTTGTTCTCATAAAAAATATCAGTGCTTTAAGTAAATCACAAGATTTTACCGCTGTAAAAACTGGATAAGTTTATCAGTAGCGTTAGTGTGTCTTGTTAGGCAGAAGAAACTAAAATGTGCAATTATGGCATTGTTCTTCACATTTGGGGCGAGTTATTGTACAGAAATAGAGCCCTGATTTGTCGAAGGAAGCTAGCATGTTGAACACTGTAAGTCTTTAGGTAAGTAGTACAGCTCCGTCCTCTATAGGATTGAGGTATGTCGTGTGGAAGATGTTAGCTGTACAAATCTGTTAACAAGGAGTGTAGGCATTCAAGAAAATAAACTGCCGATACTACACATTTCACAACTTGTTGTGTTTTATCAATTTGTTGTGTAGAGGACCAGCTGTTCAGGATTCATGTGGGTGTGAGATGTTTGGTACAGACAATATTTCGTGCTCACTGCTCACTGCTTTGAAAGGGGTTCATGCAACATATCAAGATACATTATAAATGTATTTATGGATGATTGTTGATAATAAGCCTTAATGCGATCTTGATAACGTTAAATCATCAAGAACAATGATGGTGCCTCTTTCTATATCTACTAGGGCGTAAAGTCATCCCATAGATGACATCCTTACCTTGTCAGCTTGCTTACGGGGTTAACTTCTTTGGTCATGTGGATAAGTGTCCGACTTTAGATCAGAATGTCCGTGGTTTGAATCCCATCGCAGGACTCAGAAATTTCATGGCGGCTACATATTGTTTTAGCTTTTCTAGTTATTTTGTACTTTCACAGCTGGGGAAGGTGTATGTTTTTCATAGTTGTGTAACTTTGGGGTACACAGACCTATGGGTTGAGTGTCTGTATGGGGTCTCTTCATTCACTTCATGCCCTTGTGGGAGGTGGGGTAGTTAGTGGTTAAGGCGTTCGCTCGTCACGCCGAGGACCCGGGTTTGGTGTCCCCTGCCGTGATATTGTTGGAATATTGCTAAAAGCAGCGTAAAACCTAAACTCACTCACTCACTCACTCTCATGCCCTTGTAAACATGCAGTATTGGAGTGAGTATGGTTTTATGACGCTTTTATAAATATTTCAGCAACATCACATGAGGGGCTACCAGAAATGGGCTTCACACATTGTATATATATGGGGAATCAAACCCGGGGTCTTCAGCATGAGGGAACGCTTTAACCACTAGGCTACCCATCTCCCTGCAGGATAGGAAACCACTGAATTATATCACAGTTTTTTAAGGCTGAATATATAAGGTTATATACCTGTAACAGAAGAAAACATCTGAAGTAAATGTTTCTGTTCCATCTTTTCACCACTTGACCCTACTTTCAATATACACTTTGGATAATATTGGTTTTAAGCACTTCTTAATTATCCCCTGCGGGGGATATAGTATTAGGTTCCGTCCGTCTGTACGTACGTACAAATTGGAAAATCTTAAGAACCGTTGACTGGATTCTTTTCATATTTGGTACCTAGGTTCCCCACAGTAAAAGAAAGTTCCCAGTCGGGTTTGGTGACCTTGACCTTCATTTCAATGTCACAAGGGGACTTTAACGTCATTGCGACACTTTAAAGATTTCAGCATTTTAACCTGCATGTAAAGATGGTCAGCGAGATATCTCTAGAACCATTCCTGGATTTTCTTCATATTTGACACCAAGCTTCATCTGATGAAGGTGCAAGGCCCAGTCAATTTGGTGACCTTCACTTAATTTTCAATGTCACGGCGACACTTTGAAGATTTCAGCATCTTAAACTGCATGTTGAGATTGTCAGCGAGATGTCTCAAGAACAGTTCACTGGATTCTCTTCATAGACTTTGAAGACTTCCCTTGAATGTTTTTCAATAAGCAATTTTTTTATTACTAAATTTGCATATTTCAAACACTAAGACATTCATGTCAAGGTCAAAGTGAGTCTTGAAAATATTTCTGCTTTTGAACAACTACAGAGCAAGATATCAAGAGATGTTGACTGGTCATGTTTTGTTTACATTTAACTTCATTTTAAATTACGACCTTCACTTTCATTACTTTTTAAGTTTAATTTGATAATTTGCGGCGGGGGATTATGTCACCTTAGTGACAATGCTTGTTATTTTTGTGATACAAACCCATGTTTTTCCAAGTAATTCATTACAGTATCATTCAAAGATGAAGGATTTTATTTCATTTAACTGATGTCCAGGTGAACAGGTGAGGTGTCCGGGCTGCTGGAGTTATGTCCCTTACCCAAGGCAACCTGAAATTATCGTCAGACTAGGAGTTTTTGTCTTTGAGTTGAGCACACACAAATAAATGAGTGTTAATACATGTAGACTGGTCTGATGTATGGCAGATGACTCTGAAGGGACATTTACGCCTATGATTTACGCCTTGCTTCCTCTTGTCCATTGCGGGGCGGTGGGGTAGCCTAATGGTTAAAGCGTTGGCTCGTCACGCCGAAGACCCGGGTTCGAATCCCCACATGGGTACAATGTGTGAAGCCCATTTCTGGTGTTCCCCGCCGTGATGTTGCTGGAATATTGTTAAAAGCGGCGTAAAACCAAACTCAGTCAGTCAGTCTTGTCCATTGCCATTACCAGTCAATGCCAGTTAGAGCTAGTGTCCTCCCTGGTCAGTCAACTTAGTGTTTACCTTATCATCTGATTACTTTTGTTCCCTCTTTTCACCCCTTGACCATACTTTCAATATAAACGTTGGATAATATTGGTTTTAAGCACTTATTAATTATTTTTGGGATACAAACCATTACGTTTTTCCAAGGAGGTCAAATATGAATTAAAAAGTTTCATTCAAAGATGAAGGATTTTATTTCATATAACTGACTTGCTACGGGCTGGTGGTTTATGTATGACGTCACTTCAAGACTACCATATTCTGTTGCATCTACTGAAATGACACCAAACTGCCACTAGTCGGACAAATCCTGGATAGAGACACACACATCTATTCTCGAAACGTTCGTAAGCCCTGCGAACTTCTTAAGCCAATTCTTAACAAATTGGCTACGGTCAAAGTTAAGAATTCTTAGGGCTACGAACGTTTCGAGAATAAGGGTCCAGCGTCAGGACCATACCGAGAGAGCACAACATCCGGTAAGTTACCGTCAGGCGCGCCTAGCTTATACCTTGCAATGGTAAAGATACCATCTAAGGTTCAGGGCCCCGATTCACAAATCCTTCGTAACGTTACGACCTGTCGTAACTTTATAGTTCACGATAGGCTTATAAATGTCGTAGCGCTACGAACGCTTT